AGCACACCAAAATTAGGTCATATTTTCGTCGTTTTCACGATTTTATACAGTTAACACGACCAGCTCTTAATTAGTAATTTAATATTGAGGAAAAAATCGTGAAACGGCAACTTTAGGTTTCAGAGGGGCACATTTCTACCCCTTGCCAACCATTCCCTTCTCATAATAAGCCAGATGTCAAAAATTTCAAAAAGAGTATTTATTTTTTCTGACATTGCTTATCGTTGTAAAGTAAAAAAAAACGTTACGGGTTGGATGAAGAATTGGTCCTTTCAAATAAGGTGTTAACTCGATTATTATTTCCATTTGAAATTTTTGCCATGAACGTTTCTCATGGTGAAAAGGTATACAATTTTTCACTGTTTTTAGGGAGAAGTCGTATCCGATGCATAGCCTATCATAATTTCCCGTTTTTTTTGTCGTTAATTAATTGTAAAAGTCGCTCGCTCCACTATTGGTTTAATGAGTTTCAGCAAATTTTCAATTGGAAAAAACCATTATTTATCGACCAAGGAATACGACCAAAGGCCTGGATAACCAAAAGTTGAATTTTGCACATCCTATGACCATAAATACTTTAATCAAGAAAAATGATGTATGCTCCCATTTTCGAGAGGAAAAAGTTTTTTTTATCGTTTATGGTTTTGTGTAGATGTAAGATTTAGTGGGCACACTTAGCCACCTTTAATGTCCATCGATCCACTCAGTTCTTAAACAACGTGTCGACGTTCGTCCTACACTACCTATACGAGAATGTTTACTTATCAAAAAACCCATTTTGTCACCAAAAACTAAAAAGGTTTGATTTATGGTTTTCAATACTTGCACCAATAAAAATACTTAAAGAGTAAAGAGATATACAGGGTGGAGCACTGGATATATCTTCAAAACAGAATTTTTTATTTTTATGATTTCCAAAATTATAAAAAGTTTGCTACGTACTTTAAATTTGTGCAACGCAACGCAAACTAGTGAAATTAAAAATTAATTAACACAACTATTTTCCTTAATTTGAGTTTTTCTCTTAAATTTGATTATGTAATGTAATAAGTTTTTTATGTTGCTAAATCCAAAGTGTACTCTTTAAGAATATGTAACGAAAACTAGGTGCTGCCATAAAAAAAATATGCCCCTTTGCCATGCAGAAGTACACCACTGACAACAAATTTACTACAAAGTACGTAGATTGGCAGCAAACTTTTTATAAATTTTGGATACCATAAAAAGTTTCTTTTAAAAAATCTTGTTCACCCTGTATAAGTTATTATATTGTTGGTATAACACGCCACAGCTAATCGCACCGTGCAACGTATTTATCATTTGTTTCATTAAGAGTACCTATGTTTTAAAATGCGCACTTTTTCATGTTATTCCTATTTGCAAGTTTCATTGGTAGATATAGATTTCAGTCGCAGCGAGAACAGTTTCAGTGTGATATCCAAACATCAATTTTGTAAGGGAACACATTGCTTTTTTATTTTTTAAATAACTTTCTTGGGGTTGTATATAAGACATTTTTGGGGGTAAATCCTTTGCAGGTCCCTAGAAACAAACATAGAGCTCAAAATCACTTTGCTTATCTCACTTTAAACATACTGATGAGCATTTTACCTAGATATATACAATCAGAAATGTGAAATGCGAAACATGAAGCATTTTCATTTAAAATTACCACCATTCTACGTTACAGTATGTTGGCATGTCATGTACTGATAGCAGGAATTAACCTAGATACGAGTTTTTTCACAGAAAATTTACAAAATTGTCAGTGACAAAAAATTTCCAAAAAAATAAAACACCAGATTTCCAACAACGACCTGAAGGGCTGAAGCACGGGAAATCACTGCAAATAACAATTTCAGAAATATGTAAATAGGGACTATAAAAGAAGCCTTTTCAGCTAAGCTATTATCAGTTTAACTGATGATTTTACCCAAAAAGCTTCCAAGGGCACTCAGTCATGCTTTTGGGAATACAAATTGTCATTTGAATGGAGGATACAGTGAAAAATAAGCGTAGCGTTTTTTCAATTTTATGTACCTGTGATAATTTGACCGGACTAGTCGAAAAGCTTATACAGAGTGTTCAGAGTTACCCTTGGAAATGTAAATCTCCCTTTGAATGCCCCCTCCCCACCCTGTCTCTTCATTGCCGATAAATTTTTTATTGAAAAACAAGAGCAGTTTGACATTGCAACCCCTATCTAAATGAAACGATTTTTGTAGGAACATTTTTTAGGGGTTTTACTAATTTAAAGAAATCCTATCAGCTTATTCTACAGTTACACTAAAAATCGCTACAATTTTAAAGGAAAAATCGGTAAATCACAATCTGCGATGACCAAATTCTGTTTATGCCAGTGATTTTCTTAAAAAAATTGAGCTATTTAGTTTATATGTTCGCATTGTATTATGGGTGAATAAATATAGTCTGGATGCCAAAATGGGATTTTTGGCTTAACCTGGAAGTGAGGTACGGTGAAGGTTTTTTTGACGGTTTTTAGTTCCTAAGGATGTCTACTTTGAGAATCCGTTTGATGCCACTCTGTCACCCTTGAGCATTTTGAGAAATTCAAGATGGCGCCAAAAAATGTCTGCAAAAAATACAAAAATTAAATTTTTTTAAAATATGGGCATGTAGTACATCGATTTTAGGGTTTTTAAGCCTTCTGAATTTAAATTTTGAGTTAGGAAAAAGTGTTTGGGGGAGTTTTGGAGGAGTGGGGGTGTTTTTGAGGGGTTGGTTTTTATATTTTTTCAATATTAACGTGTCGTACATCGATTTATATGTTTTTATGGATAAGGATCAATTCCATATCAAAATGGAGGTACAGCAAGTTATTCAATATTAAAAAAGTAGAACGACGCCGACAGACGGCCCGAAAATAACATAAAACGCGATGATTTTAATAAAAAGATAATAATTATAACAAGCGCGATACGTCTTTTTATAGGTTTTTTTGGGTGGAGATTATAATTTTTATGTCAAAAAATGATTTTTGAATAAATCCTAGAAAGATATACAAGATAGCGTCAAAATTTAGAGTTAAAAAGTTTACCATTTACTCCAATACCGTTACTTAAATATCTCCATCCCACATATCCCATCTTGTAAAAAATATACTATCTAGTCCAATATACCCCTACCTAAATATCCCCATTAATTGTTTTTTCTTTTTGGTAGAAGTCAAAATTACTGGTTGAGAGGGAAGTATCGTTTGTTCTGTTAGAACATAACGTCTAGCAGAATGTTTTCCTCGACTGGTTCTAGTGGATGATTTAGTACTGTAATCGTAGTATTTATCAAAAATTAAAATCACATCTGCTTCTCGTAAATAAGCAACAAGTTTACCAACAAAGAGTTTTAGGTAATCAGAAACCGTTCCTCGAACTGACCAGTGTAACCCAAATCATTGCACATCCATCAATTATTGTTAAAGACGGTCTAGTATTTAGTCTCATACACTGGGAAACAGCCAGTGAATTCATAAGAAACAATTTTGTTGATGCCTCCTTCATCGATCCATCATCATTAAACATTGAAGGAGGCGCCGAAGATAGTTCGTATTTCAAAACTTCCGCTACTGAAAAAACAAATGCTGAAAAAAAGTTAATATTGTAACTGTGAAAATTACTACTAAACTAATCAAAACTTTTGCTTTGATATTAGTAGAGGTATTAGGTAGGAGGATATTTAAGTAAGGGTATTGGAGTAACTGGTAAACTTTTCTAAATTTTGAAGTTACCTTGTATATCTTTCTATGAGTTATTCAATAATCATATTTTGACATCAAAATGGTAATCTCCACCCCAAAAAACCTATAAAAAGACGTATCGCTCTTGTTATAATTATTATCTTTTTATTAAAATGATGTCGTTGTGCAGCGCGGGCGCGGCGCACCGCGCGTGTTATGTTATTTTCGGGCCGTCTGTCGGCGTCGTTCTACTTTTTTAACATTGAATAACTTGCTGTACCTCCATTTTGATATGGAATTCGGGATCCTTATCCATAAAAACATATAAATCGATGTACGACACGTTAATATTGAAAAAATATAAAAACTAACCCCTTAAAAACACCCCCCCACTCCTCCAAAACGCCCCCAAAAATATTTTTAACTAAAGATTTAAATTCAGAAGGCTCGAAAACCCTAAAATCGATGTGCTACATGCCCATATTTTAAAAAAATTTAATTTTTGTATTTTTTGTAGACATTTTTGAGCGCCATCTTGAATTTCTCAAAATGCTCAAGGGTGACAGAGTGGCATCAATCGGATTCTTAAAATAGACCTACTTAGTGACCTAAAACCGCAAAAAAATTTTCACCGTACCTTACTTCCAGCTTTTTCGTCTGGCTTCCAGACTAATATGCCCAGAACGCGTTTTGTTAAATTGTTTTACCCATTCGTCGGAAAACTAAACTCTTATCGCATTCTGAGCAAACCGCAGTGCCCACAACGCGTTATGGTTATAAATTTCTGGCATTGTCCGATTTTGGCTATTGAGAATAACATATATACCTACTCGAAGTATAATTAACATCTATTATGAAACTAGATAAAATGTTAAAGTGGCCCCTGATTATCAGATCACTGCAGTTGCCATCTGATTTACTTACTGTATAAAACCTCATCACCTGTTAAAATTTACCACTAAACGTGCCGAAAATAGGAAGAGTTAATGGAAGTAGCACTACGTAATACATTGGAGCGTTACACTCTTTCTTCTTCCGTTTCTAGTATGGAATAATTCCCTGTGTAGGTCTAATTAATTTATATGTTAAGCACGAAACCGATATTAATAGGACAGATGCATAAACCTGCCCATATGTGAAAATACCGACGGAACTAAGTAGCTATAAGGTACATATAAATAAGAATTGTCCTCACTATTCCCTTTAATAAAGTTCCTCAACCCCTAGACTAACGAACCCCTCGACCGATATTCATTGCATTACCCTTTAGCTTAGCCTGACTCATCTAATAATTATGTTGTTACAGCTGGAAGAAATAGATCTTCTGCCGGACTAGCGATGGACATTTTCGAACAACACCAGGGAACGCATATATTACAGGTAAATATCCATTATGTGATTTAGTTGCGGAAGGAAGGTTCATAAATGATGAAATAACAGGAACATACTAGAAATGTCCCGACGCGCCCTTATTTATATTTTCTTCCAGCCAATTTTCCTTGCGCTTGTCCTGACTGACGTTTGATCCCTTCGGTGTATAAAGAATGACCGTCAAGACATGATATGAATAACAAACTGCCCTCTATAACGTTTCCAAACAGGATTTTGCTTCGAAAGATAAACGCTTTTAAATTTTACTAACTAAAATTGACGATTATTTTAATTATTATTTCTCTTTCAGTCTCTGGATGGATTTGCCTTGGCGTTAGCGGCAGACGGTCGGTTTTTATATATATCGGAGACGGTGTCAATATACTTGGGCCTTTCGCAGGTGGGTACAGCACAACTCTTCAGCGCCGGCCGCCGCCGCCACCCTCCACCTAACTGGCAAATGCTCCTCACGTAGTTCTCTGCAGCGGCGTGCCTGCCATTCATAATGTGGCTGGCGGGAGCTACAATCAATAGGGTGTTTGCAACTGCCGGGAACATGGCCGACCTTAGCTGCACACGTACATGTTATCACCTATAGTTTTAAATCTCTTTCCCGTTGCGCCACCACATACTAATTGCCATAAACGGGCTCCTTCTTACGTTGTAAATGCTTTCTTTATCAATTCGCCAGATTTTGGCTCTAAATTTTCTTTACACGCGTCAAATTAAAATCGCAAAGCCCACCCAAAAGCTTTTAATCGTTTTTCGACTAGTTGCAAATCCCATCCATCCTCTATTCAATTACTCACTTTACATACGCCGATATCTTTATAGGTTGAAATGACGGGAAGTAGCGTATTTGATTACATACATCATTTAGATCACTCTGAAATAGCGGAACATCTTGGACTTGGATTGTCGCAGAGTCAAAATTTAGCATCGCCCGGAAGTGGTTCAGAAGAAGGTGCTTCCACAACCGGAACTAACAATCCCGATGGTAAGGAAATTAATCATACTGCCCGCAAATCCCGAAATTAGGCCAGTTGTAATTAGTAACCAAAGAAAGTGGAACGTGAACCATTCGAAAAGTACGACGCACGTTTGCCATTACAACGACGGCAATTGTACGATTTCTTTAGAAAACGTCGACTCATAGAAGTAGTTTCAGATTTAAAATTGCAATTACGTTGCGGGTGCAGTAAGCGATGATGGTTGTTGTGGATGTGACAGGAAGCCGTGGTTAAGCATGCAAAGCAAGGGCGGCCCAGCGTACGTGGTCAATTGTTATTCTGTGGCGATGCTTTGTGTCACGCCCAGGAATGCTGTGGCTGCCGGCCACTATAACTAATCGTTTACTCAATGAATTGTTTCATATCGTCCCACTTTCTACCTTATTTAAGGTTTATTTACAATCAACCAGGCTTCTGCTATGTTTTTATCCTAAATATTTATGGATGTTGTTCCACAGCATAACTAAGAGATTTCCTTTATTTTATTGTAGTATCAACCATAATGTCGCTCTCCGGAAGTCCACCTTACAAAGGACTAGAAAGGGCGTTCTGTGTTAGAATGAAATCAACGTTAACAAAACGAGGTTGTCACTTCAAAACGTCAGGGTATAGAGTAAGTATCTATCAACAGTACCAATAGTGAATCATTTTATAAAAACTAATACCTCACCCATATGTCGAAAAAACCATACATATGGAAATTTCTAAACTTGCAGCATGCCTACAAATCGTCACACATTGAATACTAATCAGCTCAATGTCCAAAGTAAAGTCAACGTGATCCGCGAGTCAATAATTCCAAGAAGGTGGGAAGGGGTACCTACACCATAAAACTTGCATTTATCTGGCATTAGTTAACAAGCAAAAATGTGGTGGTCGTGTGAGAGCTATCCTCTCCTTGTTTTAACAACTGCACAAGAAAGTGCAAATCTAATCTCTCTCTCCGTTCCATATCCAAATGACCTATGTGAAATGTTTTTGACTGAAAAATTTATATCTGGCCACGGCCGTGGGTTTTCTCTGGGAAATTTTGGAAATGAAAGATGACAAAACACTATTTGTTCCAGAGATACATTGATCAGCATATTTCAACTGAATAAAACAATAGTTACAGGCCGTCACAAATGTGGCAGTGTTGAAATTTACATATTATGTATTTGTTTGCCAAGTAGTATTTCAATCCAGTTTTTACACAGATGCAATATGAGCAATGACTGTTCTGACTATAGAAACGATCATATTTTTATCTTTGTGTTGTCATCTTTAGCAATTCGACCGTTGTTGAAGCAGGATTTAGTGATCTTTGTTGTACGGAAACGTAGAAGGGGCATTCAAGTTATTTTTTGTTAAGCTACAGATCGAACTGTAATTTACACGTTTATCTGGGAATTCGAAATAGCTGCCACAAATTAGAAGTGCAATCTCGACGACCGTTTCCCCGTTGGACTTCCAATTTCGATCATCTCGACAATTAAAATCCTGAGATTGGAAGAGGTGGACATTTAAAAACGAATTTAATATAGAACTCACGACATGCATTGCGGAAGTATTTATAATATCAATTGAAATTTTATCAGTGGATGTAACTAAGAGGTTGTAACCGTATTTGGAACAAAAACCAGGTGGTATTAGTTTTTATAAATAGCTTATAATGAGAGAAAGCAAGAAACCATTCAAAAAATTGTTACGCATGTATGACTTTCAGGTTGTGTTAATGTTATGTCACCTTCGACCGCAATACACTTTTTCACACTCCCGCAAGTCCCAGCCTCCTCTTCTAGGAATGGTAGGTTTAGCAATAGCGCTTCCGCCTCCAAGTGTGCACGAAATACGCTTGGAATCAGACATGTTCGTCACTCGGATAAACTTTGACTTTCGGATAGCGCACTGTGAACCAAAGGTGTCAGATATCTTAGATTACACTGCAGATGAGCTTACGGGAAAGAACCTATACACTCTATGCCATGGAGAAGATGCAAACAAACTAAGAAAGTCACATGTTGATCGTATGTCTTTCGATTGCTTTGTAATATTCTTTGCTAAAATATTTATCAATTTTCAGTCATTAACAAAGGGCAAGTGTTAACACACTACTATCGCCTTATGAACAAAACTGGAGGATATACGTGGCTACAAACCTGCGCTACAGTCGTTTGCAACTCAAAAAATGTGGACGAACAAAACATAATCTGTGTAAACTATGTGATAAGGTACGTTTCAAATACGTGTTGCACCCGCCATTTGCTTACGCACCTGTGTGTTTTAGCGGGAGGGAGTACGAGAACGTCATAATGGACTGCTGTCAGTTGGAGGAAAATTCTCATACCGTAAAGCGAGAGGAGACCAGCGGGAACGACCCGGAGAACGGATCGCCGGACGCCGATCGTGGAGGTACGTTATCGTACCGCCATTGCTATTCATATAGTCTATAGTAAAATGTAACTACTGTTAATCTCTATCTCTGGTAAGATGATCGCAGCAGTGGAGCCCCGCCTAATCCACCACAAGAACCACCTCACGGAATGGAGGATGGAAGCGCGGAAGAAGCTGGGGACCCTCGAACGCGACGAGTAGAACATTTATCGCAGTTGCAGACCACATCAGACAGCCAGCAGCGAAAGTCGACAAGCTCCCAAAGAGCGGCCAAACGGAAAGCAACTCAGGACGCTAGTGGTTCTTCGGAAGACGAAGATGATTCGGCGCATCAACGTAACATGGTGCTTAGTCCGGCTTCTTCATCCTGCCATTCGACAGGGGGAACACACGCTATCACGGTAGAGTCCAACGGTACTAGTCCAAAAACGCACGAAGAAACTACGAGTACTTCTGTGAAAGATTTAGAAAATGCGATGTCAAAACACCTGCCAGCCTGCAAGTCGCCGGTTCATCAACCCACAGATTTCAGTACGGATGCTTTGTTAAAGCAACAACAGCGAACAACTATTCAATGGATCGGTGCCCATCATCAACAACTGCAACAGCAAGGTCCATTACCGGCCTCTGCGTTACTTAGACAATTATACGCTAATCGCGAGAGTGTTATTCGCGCAAACGTACACGGTATAACTGGTGGTACAACACGTCCGACAGGTGCGTCGTCGTATTATGGATCAGAGGCGCAGGTAGGTACCTTGCCTACACCTCCGGGTAGTGAAGGCTCATCTTCATATAGTGATCATCAATTTTTATTATCGCAACATCAGAACTATTCAACCGGTTATACTATGGACTATCATTCCGCAATGACTCCTCCGTCCAGTGTCTCCCCACGTGACAAACATCAACAAATTCATAGTGGTGTAACGTTTGAAACTCCTATGTACCAAGACGTTTTGCGGCATCAATATACAGATAGCCCACTTCCCCTAAAGCCACAGGTGTATTCCTACGTAGATCAACCACAGTTTTATCATCACGGAGCAACGAGTGCCAGTTTTCATTTGTATCATCCTGGCAAAGGTGCGCCAACAACTCCTACAAACTGGTATTCGTCTTCATAGTAAATTATTTACTTTATTCAAGACTCAATAGAGTGCTTGTGCAAATGTGTTCCTTAAACTGGCAAATCTCAAGGTTTGAGTTTACCACATCACTGGCGAAATAAATTTGATCACTTAGGGAATATTGACATTGGGGATACTATAAGAATTTTTAAACCAAAGAACATAATATTGAAACTGAATAATTAACTCGTTTTTGGGTTACACGCTCTTATCTATAGGGTTTTAGTTGAAAATGTGTCCTTAAATAGTACACAAAAATTTTAAGTTTTAGCAGATTAACGTGCTTAGTGCAAGTCTAAAAGTGCCAACTTGATAAAAATTGATCAGATTTAACACTGCAGTGCGTATTTATGTTATTGTTTGATATTTTTCAAGTTGCTTATTTATATGTTTTTACCTTTAGGTTTAATTGTTTAGAGAATAGGTTTTTTCTAACTTCGTATACATTCCGTTTTATATATTCAGCGTTATATATTTAAAAATAAAACTAAATTGACATTATAGGATATATTATTTTATCATTGGTTATTGCTAGATGTTATTTGCGAATAGTGACACAAATTAGGAAAAAAGAAAATACAGAAATACCATTCCATTTTTGCATATCTTAAAATGTCTGTACATAGCTACCCACCAAATAGCAGAGCTGTACATAAAAGCATGCTGCATATTTATGGGCATTGATGATGAAATTGCAGCCTCTTGGGCCTGTAAAAATATATACCATTATTAAATGGGTATACTTTGTTGGGCGGCCTCATCTACATTTCCCATGTTCTACATGTGTTCAAGGAACAACGCTTGGCACAATGAAGATGAAAGGTGCTCACAACATAGGAATGTGATAATCAGTTTAATTTGTTATTTTTAATTGATCCAAATGTTTTAGTAGTTAGTTATCGCATCGCATGCAGTACAAATTTAGTATGTGAGTTGTAACGGCTTCATGAATTTGTAATATATGGTACGTATTTATGTGCAATATACACTTGAAATCCAGTTGACTTAATTATAATGCAACCGTAAACAAGAAAGTGTTTTATTTCTCCTCGTTTTGTTGCACCTCACAAGACCCTCCCTCATCTGGTGCTAGTTCCAAGGAGTCAAATCGGCCCTAACTTGAAGAGATAAGTTTATTATAAATCAATGGCCAAGTGCATCTCCATATCATTGCCACCCGTTTCAACAAATGCAAAATGAAAAAATAGTAATTTTGCTTTTCTAAAGGCTGAAGGGTAACAGTGGGAAATGGGGGATACTATTTAATAATGAACAATGACAGCTGGTCAGGTACATAAACTACTTTTTAAGAAAAAAAAAAGAACCAGATCCAAGTGGGTTAAATCAGCTAAAAGCTCTCTTTACAATAGGTGGATAAATTTGACGCTCCCAATAATCATTATTCCACCTTATCAAATTTCAGGGTTCAACAACAATGCCATAATTTATTGGCGGCGGGATTTTTGAGTTCGAATCATGGCGAGGAATGTAATAAATCGTTGATATGATTTTGATTTGAACATGTAATAAATGAGAGAAGTCATGGAAATAATTCCAAACGCTATTTCCACTTTATTGAGAAAATTCACGTCATTTATTTCCTGTTTGTTTAATTTGTAGTACCTTTTTATAACGACACCGTATACCACGCAAGAATAATCGATTGCAAAACTTCATTTTTGCTGTGCGGACCCCTCACCTCCTAGACGCTCTTTCGCTCGGAGAGCAATCTCTCGACTTACTGCCCAAACGGCCAAAACGTACTAGTTTTTTTTTCATACGTCATATTTGTACCACAGAGGTAAACTTTCCCCAGAAAGTGGTTTTTTTTAACACATAGGTTTTGTTTTTTTACAAGAAATACAGTGCGTTTGAGGGTCACCTCAATATCTCTTTTATTTGGCGAGAGACGAAAAAGTTGTATACGATCTACCAGATCGTATACTTCGGGCTTAACCAGAAATCCCTGCAACTGTTGTCTTTCAAATGGAACGCCTACGTTTTATTTAAGATTTTTGAAAAATGCAATCAATTTACTGTAGGTACGACAACATAAAATATGCCTATGGTTGATATACAAAAAAATAGAGAAATTCGTGTTTTCTTTAGAAACCTCGCATGCTGTGTGCTGTCAGAACGTGCGGTGTCTGTTGTGTTACACGAGTAGTTCAAAACGAAACATTGAATAAGTTGATGAAGGTGTCTTCTGTGCGTGATATGGCACACGGTATGCTAGATTTCATTAGTTTTCTAAATATTGAATCACAAATGTTTCTATTTTTTATATCAACCATAAGCAAATTTGATGTTGTTGTGCAGCAAATTGATTGCTCTTTTAAAAGATCTTAAAATAAACATCGACATTGCATTTGAAAAACAAAAGTTGCCTCGATTTCCGGTAAAACCGGATACCGGAAGTTTCAATATGTGCTGGGATAAATCATATAATGTCACATATATAAAATTATATTTGAAATTTTTTAAATCTCGCCAAATATAGTAGGGTAACCTTCTTATCTCGAACGCACTGTATATGGATTTAGTATTGTTTGATGATAAACAATAGAGCTAGAGAACTGCAAACAGTAGTTGCAGTAACATTGAAGGGTAAACTGTATTAAATGTGCATAGTATCTACCCTTTGTATTGTTTGGTAAACTTGGTACAGTAAGTATACGAAATATGCTGCAGGTTGTTTCTTATCGTGTATGGAGGAAATTTTGTATAAATTACTCTCAGTTTATGTTTAAATGTGATGTGATGCGTAGACATGTCTTCAAGAAGGCAAATAATTTTATTTGCAACAATAAATCAAGTTGAAAACCATGAAAATGTATTAAATAACTCTTCTTCAATAGACGATAAAAGCAGATTCATCTAGAAAAATGCTTGCCTACATCTAAGCTACAAACCGTTCAGTTTTACTCTTTAAAATTATGGACTTTCAACTATACAATCAGAGAACATCAGAAGCTACTGCATGCGTGAGATGAAAGTGTGACAGGAAGAGGACGAAATGAAGTGGCTTCGTGTTTATTAAAATGGATGATTCTATGGAAGACAACTGCCCTTCATAAATTATAGAAATATGAACAAACAAACAAAATGAAAAATTTGCGGAGTTCAGGCATGCAAGAAACAACCATGATGCCTGTTCTTCCATTCAATCATATCCTCCAATGAAACCAAATACCACAATGAAATTCACTTAGTATTAAGTACAAAAAAATTTCGCACTAACAAGAACTTTAAATTTCAATATGCTGGAACACTTATATTCGGCGGGTACCTAAAGTATTTAGCACATTTGCGATTATATACCAGTAAGATCATTCAAACATTTTGGCCTTATGAAATGGTATACTAAGTTGGCCCTTACGCCGAATATTAATGTTGTGCACATCAGTGCGAAATGTTATTTTATTGTACAAGTATGACGGCGTTTTTGTTGCTCGAATTTTAAAAAGTAATAGGGATGAATGCAGAAATTGTCTAGTCGCAATGTTTTAAGCCATGAGGCATCAACTAACTTATGCGAAATGTATTGCCTTCGTTTAATCCCAAAGATCAAACGAAGACGCGCATTCTGTACCACTTGCACTCTTTTGGATGATTCTTTCGTAAGATAAGGTCCATAAACAGAAGAACAAAAAGTGAAATATGATAAAACGAGTGAGTTAAGAGAACAATAGTCCAGTTTTACGTTTTACTAGTACCTAAGAAATCCACTAACGGTGAAAAATCGTGGCTATTGGTAATTGATCGCAGACAACTAAATAGGAAACTAAATAGGAATTAGTTCGTTTATCTTCGATCAAGTGATTTTCAGTAATCGACTTAATTTCAGGATTTCACCAAATACCCTTGCGAAATTTGAAACTAGTAGGTATGAAGTACCATTAAAAAGTACTTTGAGAGTTACAGTGTATGATAAAGTTTGACCAACCACTCAAAAAGGTTCATTAGATTATTATAAATAATTTAAGAAGCCCCCCCCCCCCCACCAGGTTGTGAATACGATAGTTCCCCTTAAAGTGTGGTATTTGAAATACTACCTTACTTTTACTAAGGTTTCAAGTATCTAAAGATTTCGTCAATGTGTGTATCATAGAATAAGAATATTTCTTTAAACGAACGAAGTTTTATTACCTATAAAATAAATACGAAATATTTTTGCAGTTTCCTAAATTTATATTTCAAACAACTACAAATGGAAATGTTGAATCACATCCCGGAAGAGCCATCCAAAGGCAGAGTACCCGGCTACTATTAGGCCCTAAGGAATCGCACACTTGTTCAACCTCAATTATTTTTGTATTCTTTCCGATACCAAAACAAATGGAAAAAGTAAACAAAATCAATTGTTAAGAACTGATAAAGCTAATGAATTACGCAACTTCAAAATACGGACTCATCAGGTGTATTCTCGTAACCTCCACCCTAAAAGTTTGTCTGGTCCGGTATACACTGCCTTTTTTTGAGCCCCGAAAAAAAAAATTGTCTCAGATCGACCCGGAAAAAATTTTTTCTTATAGAATGTAGCCTGTAGAATCCATAATTTCAAACAGTTCCAAGATTGGGCTACTAGTTCAAAAGTTACAGCCCTTTGAATTTTCTTTCGAATTGGTTTCTAGTCTATAACTTTTGATTGAGAAGTCTGATCGAAAAAGTACGAATTGTTTTGGATTCTACGCACCAAAATTAATAAGAAAAAGTGTTCTCCAGAGAAATTTTGGTGCAGTCGATTTTTGGTAAAAAAGGAAGGTTATACACTGCCTTTCTTTGAGCCCCGAAAAAAAAATTGTCTCAGATCGACCCGGAAAAAAAATTTTCTTATAGAATGTGGCCTGTAGAATCCATAATTTCAAACAGTTCCAAGATTGGGCTACTAGTTCAAAAGTTAAAGCCCTTTGAATTTTCTTTCGAAATTGGTTTCTAGTCTATAACTTTTGATTGAGAAGTCTGATCGAAAAAGTACGAATTGATTTGGATTCTACGCTCCCAACCAAAATTAATAAGAAAAAGTGTTTTCCCGAGAAATTTTGGTGTAGTTGAATTTTAGTAAAAAAGGAAGGTTATACACAGGGGCGGACTGGGTACTTACGGGCCATTAAAGTATTAGTGTAGTAATGAAGGTGGCGGGGGGGTTAGCTCTGAGGTGCACCACAAAAACATTTTATACAATCCACACGAGGTGCGTCGCCTATCAGTGTATTTCAGCACTTTCAAAATACTACGACAAAAAATGATAAATTCATTGTAAAACACTTCAATTAAAACAGAATTTTTTAACAACCTAACATCAACCCCAATTAGAGAAACGTGTTAATAATTTATTAATAGTGCAAGAAACTAAATACAGCACATACTTATAAATTTCGAACGGGCCACTATGATCTACAGGCTAGGTGGCAATCGCCACCCGCCCCCCCGTGCCAGTCCGCCCCTGCTGGTCCCCCTTCTAAAATCATCATAAAGGATGTAATAAACAATTTTGATCGATCGGTCAAACTTTATCATGAGTTGTAAATCCCAAATAGGAATTCACCTACTACATCCTTCAGCGTCGATTCAGGTTCTTATCGTTTTAAAAGGGTACCTTTTGGTCTATCGGTTAGCCCAAATAGTTTTCAAAAAATGATGTGCATGGAAATAGCAGGAATTTTTGTACATGGATTATTTAATAGTAGTAGGTTGTTCCGATAAACATCATTTAAGTAACTTAAAACACGTATTTGAAACTTACAGAAAATTTAATTTAAAACTTAATTCCAAAAAATGTCATTTTTTTATGATAGAAGTTACATATTTAGGTCATAAAATTACAGACCAAGGTATTCTACCGGATGACTCGAAATATTTTAAAAAAACTATCCAACACCACAGACAGCTGACGAAGTAAAACGCTTCGAAGCATTTGGCAACTATTACCGTATCCGCTCACTAACCCATTAAATAAGGTAACTAGGAAGAGGACGCATTTATTAAAAGTGATCCAGGGAACACTAATTCTACAACTCATATTGAGTCATCACAGGAAATACATAATTCACGATGTCCTTATTGTGGCCAGGTAAAAATCAACTTATTCGTAGAACCCCTGAAGTTATTTACAAAAAAAAATTACCTATACTACCACGAAAGTTATTAATAAGGCTCAAAAAAGATTGGATCAGTTAACCGAAGATTCCGTTTCAAATCAACTTATTGGTTTCAAAATTATTGATCAAGTTCCACTTATTAGTGATTTGCTGATGACACAGTATACTAATTGGGAAATCAAAAGAATCCGCTATGATATTGTATGAAATAGCTATTCATCTATTTTGTGAAATTGGATTGAATTTAAATGTCAAGAAGACCAAAATTATAAATGTTATCAAAAGCAAATTGTTTGAGGAAGAAATTAACTTATAAATGGATTATTAAGTAAATCCCTGAACTATAAAATATTTAGGAGTCAATTGTAATAACGACATTACTTTTAATTCATCAGAAGTAATTCAAAAATTGGGAACAAAGCTTGATACTGTTATTTCTCACCCTTTTCTGAAGGATATTCAAAAGTTAACAATTCTGAATTCCTATATTTGGCCCACTTTAACATACAACTTTCAAACTGCTCCATTACTTATAATGCACAATGAATTTTTTAATGACATTGACAAAATGGTTCGCTGTGCTTTAAAAGAAATTTTAGACCTTCCAAATGCAATGATAGTAGGTACACATCAGAAAATAGTAATGGTTTCCGGTTGTTTTGGGCTGGTTGGGAGGCTTATTTACAACATATTAATATATGTAACCGTCTGCAACTTTCTAATGAAGAAATCCTTATAAAAACAAGAAACTTGGAATGTGAAAACGAATTACGTTTGAAAAAGCTTAATTTAATAGATCAAGCCCGTAAAATATAGGTATAAGATCCGTTTTATTAGACTAAATTGGTAATTAAAGGTAGATGTGTAAACCTTTTTAAGGACCAACCCCCTCCCACATATTAATACATATTAGACTCTTCTTCAGAATTGAAAGACGCAATCAAAATGATTTATGTCGCTCCAGTAAGAGAGATTTATGGTCCAACAAAGATCTTTTTCAAAGAATCATATAGATAGATTAAAAAAGTCGATATCATTGGACTACTTGTTGGTGCTCGCGGAACATATTACTAAGTACTTTTTTCAAAGAATTTTCCCACGTTTTTAGATTACAATCAAAATTGCTAAAATTGATAGCACGACTACCATAAAAAATTTCATTTACATTTTAAGAAATCATTTATATAATTAATTCGTTTTCTCTTTTTCATGTAAAAAGTGGGGAGGCTCTAGATCTTTAGTTGCTAAATTTTTGCTATGTATGCGAAACGAAAGCAGAACGAAATAATTCATTGAATTTTGAGTAAAGAACTGAAGGTTTTTAGTAGTGCATCTAAGAAATGAGGCTTTAGTAGTTTCTGTGGTTAAAATGACCTTTCTTTCTCCCCGAATGACGTTTGTATCATCGGCTGGTGGTGTGAAAAGGTCACTTTCATACCAAACATTTCTCGGTAAAGAAAGAAACGAATGACCATTCCACCAGATGTCGTGATTGAGGGAAAGGAGAGGTCCCCCTAAATGAACAATCTATCGCATTTAGAGTGAAAAGTATGATTCCAAAAACGATAATGAACCTTTTCTTGGAAGTAGCTAACTCTATTCGCCACCAATGTTTCCCATCGACAAGGCGGGGAAGCGAGCCATGCTAATACAACCTGTGAATCACACCAGGCAAAGATATTATTCTCAAAGACAATTTAATCTGCGTAATTGTCTTTTACGGTTTTAATCAGACAGAACTTTAGCACCTATAGGTTCAAGTCGCGGGATCGTTAATGATTTTGATAGTGCAGTCCGACAATTGCCACAAACAAGAAAAACTGAAATTTTCTCCAAGGTAGATAAACAATAGCCCCAATAGCCTAAATTAGAACCGTCGCAGAAGCACCTTCGGAAGTGCTCTAGTAAGTTTTTACGGAGAAGGGTAAGTTTTGAAGGTTCGGGTACCTATTTCAGAGAAAATATTTAGAGCCAGTTATTCACAATATTTTGTGGGGGTGGTTCCTCCCAACCGATATTCAGTTTCCACAAACATTGCATAAGATCTTTGGTTGAAAGTGCGGCCGATGTTGAACAATATCGTACGTCTTGTGCAAATTTTGTCATTAAATTCACATCGTCTATTGACTCTTCAATAATTTGCTTGCCTCAGGAAGATTTGCTTCTTCAACTGTAGCAAATTCTTGAAGTATTCTCAATGCTAAATGCGGGCTACAGTTTAGACCACAAGTAACAGTATTTAATGTACTACATTCAGACAAAGGATCATTGGGTGAACATCTCCAAAGAATCTTTTGAAAGTAACTGTGCTTTGGTGTAACTAGAATCATGCCTAAAACCAATAAGACGAAGCAATGAATTCGGACAATAAGAAAAAGCGAAACAATCGGCTGCCCCATTCCAAAACACAGTAACCAACATTTTTTTCAAAAATGAGTTATCACTTCCATGTAGATACTGTGTTATTTCTGCATGTTTTAAGCTAACCAGGATAGCTCTATCTATTACCGTTATTGCCAAAACCCAGTATCTGCAGCAACGTAATTCAATATACTATTCCAAAACACAGCAAGTGGATTTTACAGACTCTAAACCACAGACAAAACAGTATGTGGTACTTACTGTGTATTGGCACAAAAAATACATTATCCAGTTTTTTGCATTATTCCCTTAAATCTGCTGCACATTAATTTATAATTACCATACCGTTTTGGAGAGTGCAATGTTTGTCGTAGTTAGGTATACCACAGGATTTGCTCCAACACTCTATTCAATCAATAACATGCTCATATTCAATAATTTTACTGTTGTTGATTAAAAAGGTGCATTACAAGTTGCCTAACCGTTTCTCTCTGCGCAACATCTTAACCACAGCCCTAAATAATTGAGTTATTGAAATTTGAAGGTACTTTAAGTACAATCTCCGAGAAGTGACATAACCTCAACATCAAATTGGCAAAAGGGCCCAAATAAAACAGAAAAATTGAGAAATGCATCCCGATTTGTCGCCTCATTTACACACAAAAGAATGTAACGAATTAATAAAGTTGTTGCAAGATTGCCACGAAAATGTAAGTGACTGTATGCAAAGTTTTCATTGAAAGTTCACATTTTCTCTTCTAGCACAGTATTCGAAAGTTCATCGGTCATTGCAATGTGTTTGATCATCAAGTTGTGGTGTGTCTAAAAAAGGAACGTATCAATCGGCGACAGAAGAATTACGAAAAATCTGTAGAGGCCAAAAGACGAATTAGAATGTCTGCTCAGCAAGCTTCTGAGAATGTTTAATGTATTTAGTTACATGTGTTAGCCAAAGGTAGAACTTTCAAATTGTCTTAACCCTGTATATAGGTAATAAATTTTGTAACACTTTCTGGTCGATGTTCGACAGTTTCTTCATCTTAGCTTTATTAAGTAGGTAATAGTGAACCTCTGTATCTCTGGGGATGCCCCCCACCATGTTTCAAACTGAGGTTTAATATAGGTATGCCATAAACCTCTGCTCATCCCTAAAACTATGTAGGTGTAAAAATCATAGTAGATGACCACCTTTCTTATGGAGCCCTAGTTGAAATGTACGCAGCAATGTTATATTTTAAGTAATCCATCAGTCATTTTACATAGGATTTTTATAAGTATGTCCCAGATAGATCTGGAACTTTATGTCTCATATGAGAGATTCAGCAGTTCCCACAAAAGGAAAAACGGGTACTTATATTAATATATATAAATTATAATGTAAAATGATATCAGTTTGGCCAGGCCTGTTATATTAATTGGAACAAAGAGTCAACTATTACAAAGAAGTTTTTTTAAATAATGTGCTTAAGAAATAGTAAATTAGGAGAGATCTTGAAAAATATGATGTAAGTTTTACAGCATATAAAAGTTAGATCTGTGCTTCATTTAATAGTTCCAAAAGGATTGTTCTGTTAGTTCATGACTGCTGATCAACAACACAAAATCGTTCAGCACAACTAAGAGGACCACTACAATCATTTTTGTTTTTCTGACTTCTCAACGCCTCTACGGATTATGCGATGAAAGTGTGCTAAATATCCTAAACCAATAAGCCTAAGTGGTCCCATACAGAATAGTTGCAGGAGGATTTCTGCAATAGAAGAGCATGGAGACATTCCTGCACCCAATGTAGTGCTAACAAAGCTCTCAAAACCAATATGGCTAAAGAACTTTTTATCCTAAAATAAAATAATCCATTATATGGACAAGAATGCTTCATAAACTTACTAAAGCATCATCCAGTAACCTTTCTGCCACTACATCAGGCTGAAACAATCCGGCACATCCTGATATTAACAAAGTCTCTTCAGGTTTTCCTATGTTTTCGGCATGAAGCCCGGGTGTATCTGTATCAGGTGGCAGTGAAAGGGTAACACTAACATTATGAAAACGAGCCTCCATGTCAATAGCTTCAGCGAATCCTCTTAGGGCAAATTTACTGGCGCTATAGACAGACATACCGTAGATACCAATTAGAGACGCTTGCGACGCCGTAATAACAATTATTCCTTCTTTTCTCGCCTTAAACTTTGGCAACACCCAACGAGTTGGAAACACAGTGCCGAGCACATTTAAATTCAGCATGGATGTTATGTCATCGACACTCATATCCTCCAATGTTCTACAGATCGATTTTCCCGCACAATTGATCAACATATAAATTGGACCTCCGGAATCCTCAATTTGATCGAAAACTCTCGTAACTGCTACATTATCCGTAACATCCAGAGAGAAAATTTTAACTTGCTGATTCTCATCGATGCAGGCCTTTTTTATGTCCCTTTCTGCCAGCTTTAGCTTGTCTTCATCCCTAGCAATAATTGTGACGTTTGCACCTCGACTCGCGGCCAAAATCCCAACAGATTTCCCGATGCCACTCGAACCTCCCGTTACCACAACATGTTTCTTTAGTAGCTTCTTTGGACTTTTTGAGAAAAAATATTTTTTAATTAACATGTACAAGACAACCGGAATAAGCAGGAAAAACATAGCTTAATCACTATGAAATTTGTAATTAATACAAGAGACTGAATGAAGGGGGCTGAGACAGTGGCGTATCTAAGGTGAGGCAGACAGGGCACGTGCCCCAGGCGCTCGAGAGGGCGGAAAAGACGAGAGAGTCTGCGGTTGAGTGTTGGCACTCTTGTAAAAAAGTTCCGGAAAATTCAAAACAACTCAAAATTACGGCTGAATTTGCCTAAAATTGCGTAAATCTAAGACTGTTTGTAATGTGAACTTTGCATAAACTTGAATGCAAAGCGTTCTTTGGTATAGTAGTTAGTAGTATTGCAGGTAATAGTTATAACTTCACAGGTTCTTATAATAAAAATATTGAAAAAATAAACGTTTATTTTGATAGTTGATTTGTTGTGTTCTTTGGTTTCTTTAAATGAATTTCTACTTTAAAATCATGTATTTTACAGTAGAAACCTAAGTATATTTCGCTTGTTAAAAATGATATAAAATCTGGATGATAGATGGTGAATGAGGGAGAGGGGGGGGGGCGCAATTTCGGCACTTGCCCTGGGCGCCATTTAGTTCCGGTACGCCACTGGGCCTAAACTGTTTACAACAAATTAACGTCAGTTACAGTTCGAAGTTCGCGGTTTAAAGTGCTAAATGCAAATTTCAGGTTAGAGAGCAACAGAATTGATAACGTAGATTCCAGTGACGTACGCTAAGGCCCCTAATTTGATACCCAGAATTTCAAGATAAAATAATCACCATTACCTTCATTAATCATTACTATTATATATGTTATTATAGGGCTTATTTTGTTTACTGTAATTATTTACTACACTACAGGAAATTTTGCTGGTACCTATCTACAGCTATTACTAGAACCCCCCTGAATTAAGATGCTAGGTGTAATTTCAATGTTAAGTTTACTAATTTTCGTTTACATTTCGTTTATATTTGTTTATTGTTTTTCATACTTTATACTTTTTCATAAATATATATTACTATAGTCAGAGGCGGACTGGGTAACTGCGGACCAAGTGGAATTGCATAGGTTACGGAGTATTAGTGTAGTAATGAAGGTGGCGGGGGGTTACCTCTGAGGCGCACCACAAAAACATTTTAAAGTACTCCTTTCTCGAAAATAAATTACCATACAGTTTTTTTTAAATTGCAGCTGATAATTAAAAGTAACAAAATATACAATCCACACGAGGTGCGTGATGCGTCGCCTATCATTGTATTTCAGCACTTTCATGCTACGACAAAAAATGATAAATTCATTGTAAAACACTTCAATTAAAACAGAATTTTTTAACAACCTAACATCAACCCCAATTAGAGAAAAGTGTTAATAATTTATTAATAGTGCAGAAACAGCACATACTTATAAATTTCAAACGGGCCATTATGACGTACAGGCCAGTTGCAGTCGCCACCCGCCACCCCGGGCCAAGTGCGCCCCTGGTTATACACTGCCTTTTTTTTAAGCCCCCTCCGAAAAAAAAAATATGTCTCAGATGCGACCCCGGAAAAAAATTTTCTTAGAATGTGACCTGTAGAATCCATAATTTCAAACAGTTCCAAGATTGGGCTACTAGTTCAAAAAGTTACAGCCCTTTGAATTTTTTTTTCGAAATTGGTTTTCTAGTCTATAACTTTTGATTGAGAAGTCTGATCGAAAAGTACGAATTGATTTGGATTCTACGCACCCAAATTAATAAGAAAAAGTGTTTTCTCGAGAAATTTTGGTGTAGTTGAATTTTGGTAAGGTTATACACAGGGGCGAACTGGGTACTTACGGGCCATTAAAGTATTAGTGTAGTAATGAAGGTGGCGAGGGAGGGAGGGGGGTTGGCTCTGAGGTGCACCACAAAAACATTTTAAAGTACTCCTTTCTCGAAAATCAATTACCATACAGTTTTTTATAAAATTGCAGTTGATAATTAAAAGTAACAAAATATACAATCCACACGAGGTGCGTCGCCTATCATTGTATTTCAGTACTTTCAAAATACTACGACAAAAAATGATAAATTCATTGTAAAACACTTAATTAAAACAGAATTTTTTAACAACCTAAAATCAACCCCAATTAGAGAAACGTGTTAATAATTTATTAATAGTGCAAGAAACTAAATACAGCACATACTTATAAAATTTCCAACGGGCCATTATGATCTACAGGCTAGGTGGCAATCGCCACCCGCCCCCCCGTGCCAGTCCGCCCCTGTCTATAGTAAGGTAATAGTTTAAATTATGTAGATATCTATTTGTTTTGCTATTATATTGTTAACTTAATTTTATTTTATGATTTACGTTTGTTATTTATTAATCTGGATAATTAATTGCTTTCAATAATGTTTGTTATCTTTGTTTTTTTATGTTGTTTTTTTTCGCATTTAGCGTTTATTATTGTAGCTATGTACATTCATTGTAATTTTTCTACATTGTCTTAGAATTGGCGTGTTTTGCTGTTAGACAATAAATTCATTATTGTTATTATTGTTTTTGATATCAAACCACGTAAGTGCATCCGGTTGGTTATGATATGATCAGTTCTAAACATGGCATAGGCGGCGACAACATGTTTTTACAATGGGTTCGAATATTTCGCTCCTTTAAAACCACACTAATATACATTTATACAACTTATCGGATTTATGGCTCAGTGGTAAGAGCATTGGGTTATAAATCCGAAGGTCGGGTGTTCGAACCTGGGTTGAGGTGAATTTTTCATCTGTGGCGGAGATGGAAATTACCTTAGGCCAGTTCCGAGCATTCTACCGGCTACTCCGAATTAGGTTTTCCTGCAGTTTTCCTAATTCGTAAGGTAAATACCGGAGTAGTATAGACCATCTTAAGACCTTCTGCAGAGGCACCTCTAAATAGCATTATGCGGGTCACTCTGTAATTGGGCGCATGCCTGTTGAGGGCCCAAAACAAGAGAGGGATAATAAAAAATAAAAAATAAAAAAATAAAAAACTTTGAAAATTTGACCACCACGTCCTTAAGTCCCTGTTTCCTCTTCTATCAACGTCTCCTCGCCATCCGGAAGATTGTAGCAGTTGCGTCGTTGAAGGATTTGGTGTTGGTTACTCAACTTGCTCAGAATTTTGACTTTTTAATGGTAGATGTCATTATCTGGTGTGGAATACTTCTCCTTGAGTGGTGTCGCTTAGGCGTCCTCCCTGAGGTAGTTGCTTGGGCAGTTGGCAGCTTGACTCCGCTCTCTCTACCCAAATAACTATGCGGTTTCGATCAGGGCCTTCGGTTTTCACTGTTGGATTGTTTATATTGTTTTTTTACTGTCTGTTTCGTATTGAGGAAATAAAATGTCTATCTCCGTAAAGCTCCGCGTATTATGGAAATCACACACCTCATGGCATTTTCACACACCCTTGGACCAGGATCCAAACCTTGGTAATTTGGGTTTATGTTGCGGTTGTCTCGCCTTAGTCAGCGCTTAGACAGCTCTTAAGATAAAAATCTAGTGGCGACACAGCATCCATAGTGATAAGACGGACGGACGCACGGACAAAGTTGCCACAATAGCGCATCTTTTTAATTTTCGCAGCAATGCGCTAAAATGAAGCAATGAATCTTGTTGAAAGTGTTTTTTTATATCGCATGCCGTCGTGCGCTTCTGCAGCAGAAAATCTACAGTATGTAGGTGCAAATGACCCCACAGAGAAACGTTACAAAACAACTCACAAGCGTACAAGAAGACTAATTGAAAATGCATTGTTTGAAAGTTTAAAAGAAAGATTGTTCCATCTTCTCCCCGTCTGAGGCAATCCTAGACCATCGTTTCCAAAACGTCGTCCTAAGCTTTTTGTTTATCCGTATTTGTTACGGTATTATTTTGGAAAATTGCGAACAGAAAAGCCCGGTTTTTTAAAATTTCATGTAATAAGTCAAGCTTTTTCCTTTTTATAAGGTCGCGTTTACGATGCACACCTAGTGGTTTACAGCCACAGCAGATAGAAAAACAACTAGAGCCCTTAAGGGAAATCATAGAAAAAGAACCCAATAATATACTTGCTAAACTACAGTGGCGTATTTACGGGGGGGGATGAAGGGGATATCCCCCCCCCCCCCCCAAGAAGAATTGAGTTATCATAGCTATTAGGTATTTAGGTAATACTCCGCTATCCGCTCCGCCCACTTTAAAATAAAGGCAATAATATATAGGTATATATAGAGAGCAATTTTGGTTTTGGTTAAAGTCTAAAGTCACTAAAATCTAAATATTCTGTAGTATTCAGTATTCACTATTCAGTGAGTGATCAGTGTTGGCAGTCAACGATTTCGCTATTCGGCATCGATCGGCAATTCGCTACATTGATGCCCAAAATAACAAATAGGTATCAGGTACTTAGTACTGCTACAAACTGAGGTGAGGTACCTGCGTCCTGCCTTTCACGAAATGACGAAAATGGAATTTTAAAAACAGGAATTTTTTTTGCCCATAACTTTTGATTGAGACGTCTAATCGAAAAAGTACGAATCGTTTTGGATTCTACGCATCCAAATTAATAAGAAAAAGTTTTTTCCCGAGAAATTTTGGTGCAGTCGATTTTTGGGAAAAAAGGAAGGTTATACACTGCCTTTTTCTTTGCCCAGAAAAAAAATTGTCTCAGATCGACCGGAAAAAAATATTTTCTTATAGAATGTGGCCTGTAGAATCCATAATTTCGAACAGTTCCAAGATCGGACAACTAGATCAAAAGTTACAGCCCTTTTGAATTTTTTGTCGAACTTGGTTTTTTGCCCATAACTTTTGATGGAGACGTCTAATCGAAAAAGTACGAATCGTTTTGGATTCTACGCACCCAAATTAATAACAAAAAGTTTTTTCCCGAGAAATTTTGGTGCAGTCGATTTTTGGTAAAAAAGGAAGGTAATAACTGCCTTTTTTTGTCCAGAAAAAAAAATTGTCTCAGATCGACCGAAAAAAAATGTTTTCTTATAGAATGTGGCCTGTAGAATCCATAATTCCAAACAGTTCCAAGACCGGACTACTAGATCAAAAGTTACAGCTCTTTGAATTTTTTGTCGAAATTGGTTTTTTGCCCATAAA